CACGGTGACATTGACCCAACCCAAGTTCAATGAAGTACCAAATCTCATCGCCTGTGGTGACCATAATATCTTTGTCATCATGGAGGGATGCTGTCTCTACTGCTGGGCTTGTGGTTCCACCAGATTCTTGATCAGGCACAACTTTGCCAGGTGACTGGTGTCCACAGTTTCAGCCAACTCCAGAGCAGACCAAAGAAGACCCTCAGTGGTCCTGACGAATGGACAGAGGTGGTGAGGAGGGGATCCAAAGTGGCAACTCTGCCTCCTCAGCAAGATCTCCTGGGAAAAGGAGCTGCTAAGCCAGCACAAAGCAGACAAAGCAGCAGCAACAGCAGCAGCTACAGTAGCAGCAACAAAAACAGCATCGGCAGCAGCAGTGACAGTAACAATGGCAGCAGCCAAAGAAGCTAGAACAGCAGAAACAACCAGAGCAGGCCAAGCAGCAGCAGCAGCAATCGCCAGAGCAGCAACCAGACCAAGAACAACTGGAGCAAGAGCTCTCGTAACAACAGCAATAGCCATAGCAGCAGTCTGATCAGCAGCAAAAGGAGTTACCACAGCTAGACCTCTACATGGAGGGAGAGGAAATGCCTACACCAAGATCATCCTCACTAAAAAGGGGAAGGGACAAAGAGGGGAAAGACGCCAAGCGGAAAAGGCCCGGATAGTTGCCAAAACCCAATCCGCTCCTACTTTGCCAGCAAGAAAATTGAGATGGACCTTTCCTCCCAGAGAAAGGCTTGCTTGAAGTTCAACAGAGGATCTAAGAAGCTTTCCTGGTGCCTCTGATGTAATCACTCTCATTAGGAACATCAGTGATAACCTCAAGCCTTTCCCAAGCTCTGGATGGCTCAGATTAGCCCAATATTGTTCTGGGAGGGTCCCAGTTTTGCTCCACCACTCTCTATATAGAGCCCTTAAGTTAACTTTCCCTAGAGATGTTGGCAGTATTGTCATGGAAGGACGAATTACATTTGATGTTGTTACCAGTAGTCTGGAACAATCTGTTGGGGTTAAGACCCCAACAGATTTTTTCCAGTATGGGTTTAAGAGACTCTTAACTTTAAAAGATGTCTATTAAGCTAGCTAGCTTGAATGTGATGGGCTTGATAGATCTGGTAAGGCTGCCTGTCTGCTTCGTGATCTCTTGCTTTTGGGGGTAGATGTGGCTGCGATCTAAGAGACACATTTTGCTTGTGTGCTGTCTAGCAACTTTGTTGTCTATTTAGCATATGAGGACCAACTGGCCAGAGGTGTTTCCTTGTGAGTAAAGTGTTCCCTGGGTGAAAAGGTGGACATTGTCCATGTTGGAGTGAGGGGGTTGATTGTGGCCGATATTGCTGTGAGCAGTGGTTTGTTTCAAGTCATTGTGGTTTATGTGCCCAATGACCAGGTGTAGAGTGTCAACTTTTTCCATCAGTTGGAACCATTCCTGGTCAGTTTGTTGTGCTTAGTCTTAATGGGGGACTGGATACCATCCTGGACCCCAAGATGGACTGAGGGGGAGGCAGTGGGAGGTCATCAGGTGATCGTAGCTTGGATCATCTGATTGAGAATTTTGGGCTTATCAATAGATACCGAGTCGATCACCCAGGGTGGGAGATGTGGATGTGAGCCATCTCTCCAGGTAACCAGCTACCTGGATAGAATGTTAATTAGAAGATTTCTAGATTTTCTTGTTTGTTCCATATTTAGACTATTCAGACCATTCTGTGTCTAAATGGTGTTCGGCACTAGACCTAGAATGGCTGGACACTGGACGTTCAATCTGTATTTACTGGACAGGCAGGACTTTCAGTAACAGCTGACTAGATTAGTGCAATGGGAACTAATGGGGTGGTAATTGGGAATAAGTGGTGGGAGAGGCTTAAGGATAGCATTAGATCTTTCACCACTGAATATAGCCAATGACTAACCTTAGATAAGGCTAAAATGGTGAGGACCCTAGAGAATCATCTCTCCCAGAAGGAGGCTGGGAGGATTCCCTAGAAATAGCACTGTGGTATGGTTGCAAGAATCTGGTATGCAGAAAGATTGTTGCCCAGTGTCCATGTCATGGAGTGCTAGGAATGTTGCATTTGATGTGCCATTGGCACACTTCAAGGTTGATGCTCCTATACTGTGCATTGACAGAAGACTCAATTTTGAAAAGGAGTGTTAAGGACACCTTCCCTTGCATTACTATCACTCTCTCCATTTCCAAGGCTGAGTGCCATCATAAGCCACAGAATCAATCAAGATTTCCTGCGAGAGTGTCAAGCAGCCTTAAGGGTTTTTCATTGATCAAGTGACTTTTCACAGCCTCATAGGTTATCCTATCGTGATCTAGTGGAGAGGATTGCGATGGACCTTTTTGTCTCCAGCTCAGCTTGTCAGCATCAGAGTTATGCTCTTTCTGGTCTTTGGCAAATTATCTCAGCAACCCTGAGTTTTTGACTGATTTGTAATGTGCTGCTTCTTAATGATGTAGCATTCAGATGGGGCTGTGTAAGTTTGCCCAACTGTCATTGGTGTGACCTTAGTTTAGAAAAAATGGCTTTGCATGCCTTCTACCATTGTCCTCAGGTGAACCCTTTCTGGGACTTTGTTTGCTCATATTGCTCCCAATCATCTTGTGTCCATTGACCTTGTGTATGCCTGTGACAATATGTTGTCCTGTTCTCCAGAGTGAAATGAATGGTGTTTCTCACATTGCTAGCCATGACAAGAATGGTTGTATTGATGTCACGAATGGAAGGAATCTTGCAATATGAATGTTTTTCTCATCAGGATCTGGTTGGATTCTTTGGGCACTACTCTTTTCTGTAACAATATACATGTTTTGGACTGATAGCAGTAATATAATGAATTTAATTTCTCATAACCAAAACATTCAGACAACACATTAATCATATCTTCTTCTTATCAATGAGAAGTGGATAGGTTGGAGAGTCTTGGTTTTGCTCAATTTTTACTGAATCTTGGCTAGTTAATTCTGGGTTCAATTCTCCTTGGAACCATTCTTAAACTCATCTTATTGTTTATAACATAATTCTTAACTCATTTCATTTTAAAACTTTTTTCAACCATTCAACCTATGCTCCTGAGAATTTTAATAATTATTATCCAATTATTTCTCCTCCAAATTACCATCCTGCAATTTCATGTAATTAAATGTTTGGACAGGGTCAGTGCCCTATTACAAAATTAAAACATGAATCAATCATAATGAGTGATAAATTTTTCCCTCCATGTATTGATGGTTATACAAAACAGACTTGACACTCATCATTTCCAATGAATATTCACATATCTGTCCACATCCAAATCTTATTCCAATTACAAAATTAAAAATAGAAAATGGCACAATAATAGATTAAGATCCAGAATTGCTTGACATTAATAAAAATAAAACTGATGTACTTTCCAAATGATTTCATATTAATATCCAAAGAATCATTTTTGATTCTACTGTCTGATGGGGAAATTAAATCATTAGATTTTCAGAATTTATGAAACCTTTCTATATTTATTAAAAATATTATTTCTTCATTTCCAAATATTACAAGAAACAAAAAGAAAGCAAATAGAAATGAAATATAAATGAATTTTTTGGACAAGTAGGATAATTTGTGCAGGATTCAGGCAATTCCAAAATTGAATACTTATTTATTTTAATCTAGCACAAAATCACAGAAATGGGGCACTTGGAAATGATCCAACTATATATACCAGTGAAATGTATCTTCCATGCCATAATATATATATATATATATATATATATATATATACACACACACACATCCTTAATTTTTATTTATCTTCAATGTAGGCATTTGGTAAGAATCAGCTGTGAACCTCTCTGTGAAGTTTAGAAAAATCTCCTAATTCTGAAAAGTTCCAGATAAGATTCAAGCATCAAATAGAAATATTTAACATGAAAATATTTTCAGGTGTTTTCATTTGTGCATAATTTATTGAGTTCTATGTAGATAGGAAATCATGAAAATCACAGCTGCTCCTCATCTTTGAAGACCCCAAACAAAATGATCTTTCACATTCCTATTCTATGGTGAAATATCTAGAATTTATTTATCCTTACAAATTTTTAATATATCTTGTAAATTTTAATAGAAGATGTTAATTCCACCATTTTAACTAGTTTGGTTTATATAAGGTTTTCAATAACTTTTCACCAAACATGAGTTGTACAAAACAAAGGATTCATGCCAGTCTATTTTCATTGTTAGAAAACTGATAACACTATAAAATGTATAATCTGAAACAGAGAATGATGAAAACTGTTTTTTTTTGTTTTTTTTTTGGTGGCAATGCTGCATCATGTCTCACTGGCTTTAGTTTCTATTTTTATTTAGTTGACTTCAATGGTGATGTTTTTAGATAAGACACCACCTGCTGATAGTGGTGCGATGACTAAATTACAGAGACAATTTTTTCAATGTTTTGCATTTAGCATAGCTATTGTGTTGATAGCTACCACAACTAGTATATTATTTTATCTAATGTTACTTCTTCAACAATAAATCAATTGTATCACCATACACTCTTAAATATAAAAGCAAGTTTGCTACTTTTGTTAGTGAAATGATTACAGATCATTGCAAACAACTTCTTTCTTAAATTGCGTTCACATATTTCATTTATGTTTTCAAAATATGTATTGATAAACATGAATGATGATTTCTCAAAACTTACTTTTCTATCCATAAAATTATGTCTGAAATAATAGTTTCAGCATATGAAATTATGATGTACACTGTGGATTACACCCACCTTGTCTGCCAGAAGACTTTTCTTAAAGCATTGTATGAAGAAGTATATGAGCACAAGCCTTATTTCTCTTCTTTTCCTCTCCAGCAACAGGATTCCATAGTGACAAGATGTGTCTCATTTCCACTTTGAGGCATTATTTAGTTCCCAAACCCAGAGTTGCGTTGTATACAGCACGTTACTACCAAACACAATCTCCTATTTGAAAATATCTCATACAACCACAGGCTTACAGCCACATCATGTTGAAACACCAGTTTCCATACAATCCCTGAAGTTAAGCAACATTGAGCCTGGTTAGTACCTAGATGGGTGACCACTTGGGAATACCAGGTGCTGTAAGCCTGGATGTACAGGTGGTGTAATGGATAATAGTTCAGAATTGGAAATTGGAGAATTGCATTCCAATTCCAGTTGAGTTTGTTATATTCACTTATGGGCAAATATCCTTGGGGGTGGGTATGAATCCACCTCATCATTAGCTTAAAAACTTCTTACAATCTAAAAATATTTTCTGGCTTTAAATAACCTGAAAAGGTTTATATGCTGTAAAATACAAATCAATCAATTAATCAATCAATCATACAATCACAATAATGTCTTCAATGCAACCTATCACATAAATATATATCTCTCCAACCCAAGAAAATATCAGTTCAACAAATGAGACAATGCTGTTACAAACTGATGACTCCTATAACAAACTTCGAATGGACGCGTCATCTCCCCTTGAATTCAAAACAACATAAATTCTAGTAATTTTTGTTTGACAAGTCAAATGTATATGAAACATGATTAATGAATGAAAATCAAAACATACAAAAATAAAAATACCAGAATTTCATTCTTCTTTTTTTCCATATCTTATACTTTAATGAACCTTTAATAAAAATGAAACATGTTAGATTGAAAAACTTTGCCTATATGTTCTTTATCTTTATCTTTATTCTGCAGATTCCAATCCATATTAAATCTGCATTTGATCCTGACTCATTTTATACATAAACTAAATAAATGTTGAATATTTATGGTCAGAATGATATCAGAGAGAGCAATATGAATGCAAAAGGATATATGCCTATGTTTCATAGACTGTGCAAAAGCATTTGATAAGGTACAACAGAAAGATCTCTTTGAATTGCTAGGAAAACTTGATTTATTTGGGAATGATAGAATAATCTGGATTATTTACTGGGAGAAAACCACCTGCATATGGTTAGAAAATCAATTGAGCATGTACACAAAAATAAAAAAAATCTTCTCACCATATTTATTTAACTTTTACAATGAAGCAATCCTAATGGAGCTAGATGTCCTACCATAATTTATTATTGGTAGGCACAATCTTAACAGCATAAGCTACACTGATGACGCTGTTGCAGAAACTCCTAAACAAGGTAATAAAAGAAAGCAGGAAAATGGTCTAAGTCTCACTTGTCCAAAATGAACTCAAGTCCACAGTTAACTGGTACAAATGATGGCTTGTTAATTTTAACGCCTCCAAAACTAAACTTCTTTCCATTAATCATCTGAGAGACCTCTCACTGCCTTCCATCAGCATGGCTGATGCTAACCTCCAGAAAAGTAAGTCATTGCACCTTCTTGAGTTCATGTTCTCTGCTGATATGAAGTGGAAAGGCCATATTGAATCCATTGTTAGATCAGCTGCTAAGAAAATCAGTTCACTATGTCAGGCAAGACAATTTTTCTCTCCAGAATCTATCTTACATACCTATAAGTCTATAGAATATGCTTAAAATATTGCTGCCACAAATGGTCTGGTGCCCCTACTATTTAACTTGAGCTCCTTGATAAGATCCATAGAAGAATCTGCAATATTATTGGTCCTGATCTGGCAGGTCAGCTCCAGTAACTTTCCCACCACCATAAGGTTACCTATGTCTTTTCTATATATACTTTCATGGTAATTGTTTGAATGAGCTCTTCGCTATGATATCTAGAGTTTTAGAATTTAAGCACTGCACTAGACTTAGCCATAAATTCTATGCTAACAGTTTCTTCTCTCCTACTTCTCACTTGTGGACCTTCTGGCTCCATGCTTTCCACTCAATTTTAATCTGCAAAAATTTAAATGCCATACCAATCATTATCTACGGTCCACCTGATTACTCTCTTCTCTTTCTGCTCATCACTAATGTTTTTGTTCTTAATTCTTCCACACTATGTAACCTCTTGTGTTTTAGTGACATTACTGTCTTGCTTGGGGTGATTCCAATTAAAAAAATGCAAGATATAAATTGAAGAAGTCAAAATAAAAGATGACATAAAATGAAAGGGGCATTGAAATAGTGAAAAATGCCTTCCAAAAGCTTAGCAAAGTATTAAAAAAACAGGAAAATTGCATTAGAAACAAAATAAAGAGTACTGAACTGCCAGTTGATATCAATCTTCCTGTATGACAGTGAATGCTGGACAATTTAGAATTTTATTTGGAGACCAATAGTTAGTCTAAAGAGGCCTCCATAATTATTAACTTTGGGTTCTATAACAGAGAATCAGGACAACCCAATACGAGACTCAGAGTCGGTTGTGTGTGGTGCAATAAGCACCAGGAGTTGTGTCCACTTCTACAATGGGCTGTTGAGAGAAGAACTTCTACATAGAGTAGGTGGTGCTGACAGTTTGCATATGAACGATACTGGACAGGTATTAGCGAATAATCAGTGTGAGTCTGAGACTGGGAGAGCTATATGACACTAGTTTTTCTCAGTTGAACACAGGTTCCTTTCAAAATGGCTGATTTGATAAATTTAAAAACATGATAAAATTCATATGTGCAAAAACATATTCATCGACTTCATGGACAGTAATTACTATTTTAAATTTGTTAGTAATTTATCATTGTTTAGTTTTCTTGTTTAATAATTTATTTAATCTTAAAGAAGCACTTTTTTCTATTCAGAAAGATTTTTATGTGCATAACCAATGTTTTCTGGTATTTTTTTCCTTTTCTCTGTTCATTGATCATTGGTAGTCAAAATGACAAATGGATTCAGTTTTGATTTTCTAATGCATAACAAAGGATGTTACAATACTATGCATTAAGCTGTTAAGACTGACAAGTAGAAAAGAAAGTGTCATAATAGTGGGACATTTAGTTTCATCAGTTCTCATTCTCACTAATGGTTTCTAGCTGCAATACAGCATCTGTGCCAATGCGAGTGCACTCACTATCCTGAAATCAAATTCATTGTTATCTTTGTCTCTTCTGCTGACCTGCTGAACACAGATCTTCTTGTGTCATGATAGTTTCTTGTACTGTACATTATATAAAGAAAAAAGCATACCTTTTATAATTCTTTATGACATCCTGATGCTCATTACACTTACTTATATCAAGCTTTTCATACCTGCATTCATCTTGCTAATTGATATATTTCATTTGTTTTATCTTACTTCAGATTCACTGTTAGGAAAAAGGTTAATTACTAAATAGTTATTAGTGATAAAAACATTTGATTACTTCTTATCCTATCAGAATATAAAGTTGTTTTCCCACTGCAAACAAAGAATTGTCTTTTCTTTCTCTTTCTCTCACTAACAAATACTAAATCTTTAGCATTCTGTAGACATTTTTTTATCAAAGGTTTATCCTGCTACTGCAATTGACTCTGATTGACAAACAATAGTGTGTTTGAATTTTGTACTTGTGCTATCATGTCCTGTTATGGTAACAGAAAATAAACGACTGAATTCAACAAAAGGACGACTGCAGTTAAAAGGTCTTGAAAAATAATGCAACAAAAGAGGCAATACAAAAGTAATGCAGCTTGCACTGGATATTTTTTTTCAGTAACATCCATAACAAATCCTGTTGGTTTGAATCTTTAGGAATGATCACAAAAACGTTTCCTTACCCAGATTTATAGAGAAATTGTACAGATGTTTGTTGGGATTTTTTCCTAGTCAAAAAGATAGACGACTTCTCACTCTCATACACTATATTTTTGTTCTTTTTTACAATCATTTGACAGCATCCATTTTGTGTATTAACATCATTCTTGCTTTGGGAACCTTTTAAATTATTGATGTTGTGTGGCAAACACACCCATCATGACAAATACAAAAGAGGACTCAGATTGCATGCAGACATGTTTGTCAACACTAGTTACATCAACGTTTTTCCCATTAGTAGCCGGACAGTTTGGCATGTCTAGCTAGATATGGGCCACTCAGCAACTGGTCAAGATCCGGGTCTTGCTTCATGTCAATAAAAGTTGGGGGGAAAACAGCAGTTGGCAAAACACTGTGTCTTGTGAAGTCTGTCCCATGGGCATTTTGTGCTTCAACTTGCTGTGGTTTCCAAGGCAGTGTTATTTTTGTTAACTCTCATCTCTTTCCCCCCCTCTCTGCCTATTATCCACATAGTTGTTGGGAGAGTAATTGGTTAGGTGTTTTCCCCCAATCTCAACAGACACATTACAATATGTTGTTTTACCTATTTTGTCTTACATATATATTGTTTGCTTAGTATTATTTTGCCCTGTTCTTCCTCATCTTTCTCTAGCTGTTTATTGGAAACTTTGCCAATTACATTTAACCATAGCCAATTACTCTATAAATCCCATAATACTTTAAGATCATTCTACCTGGATTTAAACTTGAAATTCCAATTAAACTTAGGGGTGTTCTTCAAAATAAGGATTCAAACATAGAATGTTATAATTTAACTGAGCAGAAATTAGCTTCTTAGAAATTGATGAAATCATTAGACTTGAGAATAAAATCTCAGATTAAAAATACCAAAACTGAAATAATTTGGGACATTTAGCAACAAAACCACATAAAATATGTTTCCAAGGGAATTTCAAAATATTTAATCAAGACTTTCACTTATAAAGTTAAAGGAAATATTAAGTACAAATCTAAATAACTTGAGATCTAAATGTCATCTATATCTATAAAACAGATGTCTAAGTGTCTGTGTATCTGTCTGTCTGTATGTATGCTATTTATGCACATCCACATTTCTTGACAGATTTCAATGAAATTGTACACACGTATTGCAAATTTACCAAAATAGGTCAAGAATAACCTTATAAGCTCAAGACCTGCATAGTTCGGCAGAAAAATTGATAAAATTGAAGGTGGGTACAAAAGACCAGGCAAAGTTACATGCAAACCAAATTTTTACTGGATGAGCTGATGTTCTTTGCACTTAATGCAAAACATAGCTCATGTTATGAGGTTTATGCAGAGTGCTTGATAGTTTTCTTGCAATATTGGCTTCACACAAAAAATTGCAAAAAACTGAAAAAGTTGGGTTTTTCATACTACTTAAAAACTTGAATAACTTCCTCATTTTTTATCTGATTTTCTTCAA